GACTGTGTCTCCTTATTCTGTAAATAAGCAGGACACTGTTCAAATACTAATTTTTTCCTTTATCAAAGATTCCCCCCTTACTTTCTTTTTACTACTTCTTTTCTTTCATCCTTCTTTCCTTTCTTCCATCCTTCTTACCTTTCTCACTTTTATATAAATATATAAATAGATCAAAATTATAAAATGTGAAAAATATATAAAGTTTAAAAATAAAATCCACTTATCTATGTCTTTCTCATACGTTAACACTGCCTAACATTGAAATGAATGAGCAATTAGTATAATTGATTTGGACAGTTGTATTGAAACCCACTTGTAAGATGTGTTTGCTATTGACTCAGCCAGGGGAGATGGCCAAGTTCAGCTGATCTTTTGCTGCTGCTGCTAGTGCTTTATAGAAGACTCCTGAGAGAGGTTGTTCAAATTTGGAAAATTAACCTATAGTCATGATTAATAATCTTAGTATGGAAAAGATAGCAAACAAATTTCAAACAATTTATACTACATATTTTTAAATTATGTTTGGGCTTTTATTTTTTTCAAGGTCTACTCCTGTGTTTTTTCATTTATTTATTCATTTATTAACATATTCATTTTCCTTTATCTTATTTTATTTTCCCATTCTTCTCTCCCTTCTGTGAACAACTATTATAATTTATGAGATGCTTGGCATTTATTCATAAAATATGTAATGATTTATTTTGCATGCATATTATTTAAATCAACATAAATACCATTACCCTATAGGTCAGATCCTGTTTCTCACTTGTTTTTAACTTGGCAAAGACTTTAGGATGGATCCACCTTCTGGTGTTAACACCTGGTATGGTCTGTTTCTTGCAGTCTCTGCCAAGTATTTTCATCATGAGCATTCACAGTACTCTCAAGTACTCTTTCGCTTGATACCTCCACCTCCTCACAAATACATACCCACGAAGAGAATTTTTAGGTGATAGAGTGTGTATATGCTTAATTTAACTACATTCTGCCAGACTGCCCTCCAGAACAGTTGCATTCATGTGCATTCTCATTAAAATAATTACATGTTTATAAATTGTAAATAAGAGGTTGTTTTATTTTATCTACTTATAGTTATAGTATTCTCACATTATAGAGAGAGAATAAACCAGAACAACCATCTACCAAGAATATCTTCTTGATGAAGTCAAGGTCACCAATCCCACATCCCAATCAACACATGGCATTTTATGGTTTTCAAACGTGTCCCAATGTGATGACAGTTAGGTAATATATTATGACTTCAGTTTGCACTTTCTAATGACTAATGAATCTGGGGTTTTCTTCATATACTTGCAGAAGTTTTGGAACTTCCTCCTGTGGGAATGATCTTTATTTTACTAATTGCTTAGATATTTCCAATTGTTTTCTAGTAGACTATCATTTTTATTAACTTTTATAACATCATAAAATGTTAGACATAAACAAAGGGGATGAATTGTGTAGTGCCTACCACATATGAAGTGTTAGAAAAATACATGTGGAATGAATAAAATGAACAGACGTCATGAACTTTTGTGTGGCATATGTTTGGGTGTAGAGTAACCTGTAGGAGTTTTAACTACCTGAATAATTTTAGTCAATAAGATGTTTTTGATGTAATGGTAAATAATAAATATAGATCAAGAAATAATATAACATGAAATTTTGTATTATAAAGAGAGGAATAACTTTTGCCCATTTAAGGAGCATAGAGTATTAAGTAATCCTAGAGATTATGAAAATACGTATTTGAGAATATTTTATGTTAATATTTTTTAAGTTCTAGAATTACCTAATTATTGTCTTTTTCGGTGTTTAGTAGCCTGTTAAGCCAGAGACTTTGCAAAAAATCCTATCATCACTGCTACACATTCAGCAAAAATCCAGACTGTCTTAATTTCCTGTTAAAAGCTATTAAAGGCCAGGCATGGTGACTCAAACCTGTAATCCCAGCACTTTGGGAGGCTGAGGCCAGTGGATCACTTGAGGTCAGGATTTCAAGACCAGGCTAGCCAACGTGGTGAAACCCTGTCTCTACTAAAAATGCAAAAACTAGCTGGGAGTGGTGGTGGGTGCCTGTAATCCCAGCTACTCAGAAGGCTAAGACAGGAGAATCACTTGAACCTGGTAGGCAGAGGTTGCAGTGAGCCGAGATCATGCCACTGCACTCTAGCCTGGGTGACAGAGCAAGACCCTGCCTCAAAAAATAAATAATAATAATAATAATAATAATAAGCTATTAAAATAGATACTTTCAAGGAATTTAATTGAAGTCTCATCTGTGCACTTTCATCCCTGAAATTTGTAATAATTTAAATACTTTAAATAAGTATTTAAATAATTTAAATAAAAGAAAATACAAATGTTTACTCATAATACTAAATAATAAATGTAATTCACATGGGTACTATTTTCCAGAAAATCTTTCTAAAATGCAGTGTAAAAAGCTGTCTTGAGATAGAAAATGCTTACATTCAAACCTATTAAATGATAAAATACATTATTGAACATTCACAGAGCATAATAATTTTCAACAAATTTTTGCATGCATTTTTAAATAGTTTATATAATTTTACAATTAACAAATATTTTTCATATATATTGAAATGCCATATTTAATTTTCACACCTACTAGGACCTCTTTTGAGATAAACAAGGAGTGATTTGTTATACCTGTACATCATTCATTATTTTAATATGGCTCATAGAATTTGTAGGAAGATAGACAATAGAAAAGGGAAATATTACTAAATGACTGTGTTCAGTGGTCATCTTCCCTATGGTGTCTCACTGTAGGCAATGAGCCAGGATAAAAAAATTGTCCCAATCTTTTGAACTGCAGCACTGAAACAACTAGGGTGGGAAACTGAGGTGGGGCAAAAAGAATTTCCATTGGTGTATTGTGGTATGGAGCAGATCATGTAGTTTACAGTGTCAGGTATATATCCAGGCAAGACCCTAGTTATCTGTATAATTTTTTCAGAAATTTTATTAACGATAGTAGTTTTTTAGAAGCATTTTTTAAAATTTTACATGATAATTATGTTTTGTAAATTTGCCCTTTTATTTTGGCACGTGAAGAATGAACAGGTAAATTCAACAGAAAAAGCATGAAAATAAGTGACTGTTCCTTCTCATAGTATGTGCTCCTGCAGAAATGTGACAATGCAATTTCTGAATTATAATAACTTTGAATTCAAAATCATCTGTTTATTAATGTAATCTTCTTCCTTATTTTTTTTAAAAAGTGCTTTATTTTCCTCTTTCAGCGTGCTATATTTTTCTTTAGTGGTGTTGTCACTGTCTTTTACATAATTTTCTCATTTTATATGTACAACAGCCTGGGATTGTTGAAATAAACCTAAGGCCCATCTGAAGATAAAGTTTCCTTGGAGTAAGTTATAGAAAAGTCATTCTTGTTTGTGTTATTGTGAGCCTTTTTATGGACTTCTTTTACTATTTGACTATAGTTTAAAAGCTTTTCCCTTTCTTACTTGCAAATGATAATATGCTTTCTAATATATATCATAATCATTAAAACTTTTAAAGATACAATCATGCCATGTTTAGAATTTTCCGTTGGAGCCAATGATGATTAATAGGTAATTTCACATAGGCATCTGTGAAGCTCGTTTTAAACCTAATGGTTCAGACCAGGCATGGTGGCTCATGCCTGTAATCCCAGCACTTTGGGAGGCTGAGGCGGGTGGATCATTTGAGGTTAGGAGTTTGAGACTAGCCTGGCCAATGTGGTGAAACCCTGTCTCTACTAAAAATACAAAAACTAGCCAGGCGTGGTGGCACACACCTGTAATCCCAGCTACTTGAGAGGCTGAGACAGGAGAATTCCTTGAGCCTGGAAGGCGGAGCTTGTGGTGAGCAGAGATCGCAACACTGCACTCCAGTCTGGGCAACAGAGTGAGACCTGTCTAAAACAAAAAAAACAAAAAACTAATGGTTCAACAACATAAGTGTAGTATTTAGACATTTTTCTCAAATAAAGCTGGTAGAGTTCACAAATACTTGAGCACTACCTTGGATGGGTTCATCTACTATATATATCCAGTTCACATAGCTGCATGTCAGAACAATGTGAATCATGCCACGCATGGACCCCTCAATGACTTTGACAGCTCACATAAAATGGACCAAAGGAGCTAGATGTAAAATATTGAAATATTAATTATGTTATACTTTTATTTTTTCTGTGAAATTATCTTTTTAGATAGGAAAAATGAAATGCCCTGACCAGGTCAGGCCAGACCAGCTACATAATTTATAAAACCCAATGCAAAATTAAAATGTGGGTTCTTTGTTCAAATGTTATTAAGAATTTCAAGATGACAACAGTAGAGCATTAAACCAAGCATAGGCCTTTCTGAGCACAGGGCCTTGTACTGGTGCACAGGTCACATAGCCGTGCAGCTGCCCTTCCTATAACATTCCTAGTATTCCTCAATTCAGGGATGTCTGGCATGCAGTGAAGAAAAGGGCATGAAGTGGCATTCTATTTCATCTGGACAAAATAGAAGCTGCAACAGTTCCTGAAATGGAGAAATCCAAATGACTTTTTTCTACTACTCCCATTTCATGATAAAATACCAAATACATTCTTCTAGTAGCTTGTTCCCCACAGAAAAATTATATTGGGGGTTCTAATTGTTTGTTTTATTTCCTATACGAAATTGGTCTAAGCAGTATACATTCAATAATGTTTTTTATGGCAGTGTGAACAGAATGCATGCGTTTGATAATACTAAACAGATTTTCAAAAGCAAAATTTTGCATGTTGTATTAAATATATTTTATGTGTTCAGGTAAGTTAATGAGATCAAACTACATCATGGTTTTGGTATTAATGTTGCAGAGAACTTGGAACTGATGTTCTCTGAAATGGTGTGCTGAGTTGACTTCTAAATGCAAATAAATGTCTTCGATGCCCTATGTACCCAGACTGGAGATAGCACACATTTGATTTTATATTCAATTTGTCTTTTTAGGGATGCAAGTATTGGAATGGAATGGAATTCCCTTGACTTCTAAAACATATGAAGAAGTTCAGAGTATCATTAGTCAGCAAAGTGGGGAAGCAGAAATATGTGTAAGACTGTGAGTTTTTCCCCATCTTTCTGTTTCCATTTTTTGGCTATCCATGACTCTTTTAATTTAAAATTGTTAAGGTGGAACCTTTGCCAGTTAGCAAGATTTTCTGTAATTATAAAATAAAGTGAATCAAAGCCTAAAGCATAGAAAGAATTCAGCTAACTTAGTTTCTGATGGTGTCAACAGCCTCTTCCCTTTCATGCTTTTATGGAAACGTGCTTCATTTAAATGAAAGCCTGAACCCATTTAGATTTCATGGATATGTATTTACAAATGAACTTACACTTAATTCATAAAGATTTCACCTTAAATAATCATTTTTATCAGCTCTGACTTTTAACAGCATTGCAACTATATATTTGGTTAGGAGGGTAAGCATGCTTTGGAGTTGCTTTATATCATTAACCACTTCTCATTTACCTACTGAAAAAAATTAAGGGTAGTTGGAAAAAAGTGCTGTTTGTCTCAGATTTCCTCAATATCTTTCTTAATGTTTTGTTTTAATTTTTAGGGACCTCAATATGCTATCAGATTCTGAAAATCCCCAGCATCTGGAACTTCATGAGCCACCAAAAGCTGGTAGGTAAAAGAAATTTAGTTTCAACTGTAAATAAAGAGGTAGATATAGAAGTAGTTGGAGAGGCAGATGTAATTGTAGATGAAGATATAGACATAAACACAGATATAGACAGAGATAAAGTTATGAATAGATTGTCAAATATATTTATATAATTATAAACAAAATCTAGGGCATTGTAGCTACAGTTTTAGCATTCTGGGGAAATAAGTATTTGCATGTTAGTCCCCTTAAACAAGTTCACGTAAAATCCTTGCTGCATGAATTCACAGTTTTAATTCTTTAAATATGAATTCATCCTTTGAAAGTAACGCTTGGAGCCATTTCTTTTTGGGTTTACATAATTTTTAGAGCATACTTGATTCTTTTTAGAATAACTGGGTTTTAAAAAAATCTTATTTCTGAACCTTTTCATTTCCTTTTTATAGTAAACAAAAATCAACATGTAATTTCATAAGTACACGGTGAGATAGATTTAACTCTTTCTTTGGATAACAAATATAATCTACAAATTTGTTAGATCTATTGTAAGATTAAAAATATCACCTTTTCCTATGTTAAATAAATTTTTGTTGAGCACTTTCTACTCTTACAGCCACAATTCTAGTAGTCTGGGTTATTGCACTAAGCAGAATAGACCAAGTGCTATACGAATTTTAATACATTTGTAAATATAAATAAACCCATTGAAACTTTCCCCTTAGAAAATTTTCTCCTTAGAGAAAGAATGATGTAAAATTTAGGGAAGAAAAAGCAGCTAATCATACAAATTAAGTTCCAATGGATAAAATAGGATATTGCATCATTCAAACAATTCTCTATGTAAAATATTAAAAACATTTTTCTGAAGATGCAACAGGAACTTCACTATTCCTCTGTAATTCAGCATTATGTTACTCTTCTCAGAGCCTTGTAGACTTCCTTGGAAACTGATACATAGAAGTGCAATTAAGTTAATTTCATTTTTAAAGTTTAGCTTATTTTATAAGTAATGTTTTACCTTTGTCACCTAGAACTCACATAGTTCCATGGTATTATGGAGAAGTATGTAAATCTATTTCATTTTGTTGTAGTGGATAAGGCGAAATCCCCAGGAGTTGATCCTAAGCAGTTGGCAGCAGAACTCCAGAAGGTTTCACTACAGCAGTCACCGCTGGTTCTGTCATCGGTTGTTGAAAAAGGATCTCATGTTCATTCAGGTCCTACATCAGCAGGATCCAGTTCTGTTCCCAGCCCTGGGCAACCAGGGTCCCCCTCAGTGAGCAAAAAGAAGCACAGCAGCAGCAAGGTGAGGAGTGTTTGATGTGACCTCTGACCCACTTGTTTTCTAGCTCTTTATTCAGACCAGAGATAGAAAATAAAACATCATTTTCTAAAGTATTTTTCTTATGATTTCTCATTTCCAAATGATCTGTCAAAACAAGAAACATTTTTTCTCTTCTGAGTACAAAACTCATCAAGATGTACTAGGATGATGTATTTCTAGTATTTCTACATCTTTTAAATATTTCAGTAGTTATTATGAGGAACTTGAAAAATGTCTCTTATACTTTATATTTTCTGGCTCTCTTTGTTGTTGCATGTATCTGAGCTTTGTATATAGAATATTAGCTTTGCATCTTTTAGGAAACAAAAGGTACATATTACATTAGATTTTATAATTAAGTAAAAAGGACACAGCGATAAAGAAAATTTAAGATAATAACAAACAAGGAAAACCCGTAACATATTATCACCACTTTGAACTTTATCCTCAATTCCATATTAAGAATTTTTTATTGATGCAAATCTTCATTCGAAACAAATGCTTCCAATGCTGTTGTTTCAAAGTGCCAGGGAATTAAAAAAAAATAAAATTGTTTTTTAACCTTATAAAAAGCAAAGGAAATATAGACAATTTATGATTTCCCTCATAGATTTGATTCTTAAGAAAAACTATCCCTGTAGTTGATAAATACATGGGAAAAAAAGTGTCTTTTTGTTTAAACATGAATAAAGGTTTGTCTTTATGTAGTGAAATATATGGGAAGGACAGGCTATATATGCTCAGGTCAAGTGACCAGACATAAAAAATAAAGTTTGTTTTTTAACTATAAAAATACAGCAGATGTCACTAAAAAGAGAATCCTTTTATTCAGAAGCAAACAACAAAAGTAGGTTGACCTTAATCATTGCATCATAAAATGATTTGTTTGAAACTAAATATAGAAAAGCTTCATAAACAAAGTAATTTCAAGGACAGTTAGACTAAATTTTGAAATAAATTTTAACACAACTACATTTTACCACAAGCAATTATGTGCTAATTTTGAATAATTACTTTATAGAGGCTCTATTTTGATAAGCATTTAAAAATAATTCATAAACTAGCCAACTAAAATACCAACATAATTAATACTAAATTCTGTTTTGTAGATGTTTCTATGTTATAAAAATATAATTTGAACATATTTGAAAACAACTTCTTTTTAAATTAAGCAATTAACCATCTCATACAATATTGCTTATATTTTTAAATTTTAAATTATTTTTAATTAACAAATAAAACCCGTATATGTTTATACTGTACAGCATGAGGTTTTAAAATATGTATATATTGTGGCCGGGCATGCTGGCTCATGCATGTAATCCCAGCATTTTGGGAGGCCAAGGCAGGCAGAGCACTTGAGACCAGGAGTTTGAGACCACCCTAACCAACACAGTGAAACCCCATCTCCACCAAAAAATATAAAAATTAGCCAGGTGTGGTGGCTCATTCTTGTTGTCCCAGCTACTCAGGAGGCTGAGGTGGGAGAATCACTTGAACGTGGGACACGGAGTTGCAGTGAGCAGAGATCACACAACTGCACTCTAGCCCAGGGGACAGAGTGAGACTCTGTCTGAAAAAAAAAAAAACCAAAAAGAACATGAATACGTTGTGGAATGGCTGCATTACATTGAGCTAATTAACATGGATTACCTCACTTATTTTTTGTGGTCCAAACACTTTAAATCTACTATTCATTCCTCTGAAGTATTTGGCTTAAAATTTTTTTTTTTTAAATCTACTCTCTTCACAATTTTCAACAATATAATACATTTACTATTAACTGTAGTCACCATGTTGTATAAGAGAGCTTTTAACTTCCCCCTAAGAGAAGTTTGTACCCTTTGACCATCATTCCAATCTTTCCTTTTCTCTTAGCCCCTGGTAACTACCATTCTTCTCTATGCTTCTATAAGTTCAATTTTGTTAGATTCCACATATGAGTGAGATAATGTGGCATTTATCTCTCTGTGCATGAATTAGTCCACTTAACATAATGTCCTTCAGGTTTATCCATCTTGTTACAAATGACAGGACTTCCTTGTTTTTTAAGGCTAAATAGTATTCTGTTGTGTATATATAATACATTTTCTTTACCTCATAATCAATTGATAGACACTTAGGTTGGTATTATATCTTGGCTATTGTGAATAATGCTGCAATGAACCTGAGATTGTTGGTATCTCTGACATACTGATCTCATTTCCTTTGCATATATGCTCAGCAGTGAGATTGTTGGATCATATGGTAGCTCGATTTTTAATTTTTTTGAGGAACCTCCATACTATTTTCCATTATGGATATATCAATTTACAATCCCAACAACAGTGTGCAAGCGTTCCCTTTCTCCACATTCTCACCATCACTCACTATCTTTTTTCTTTTGGATAACAGTCACTTTGACTGGGGTGAGTTAATATCTCATTATAGTTTTAATTTGTATTTCTCTGATGATTAATGTTGTTGATTTTTTCTATACCTCTTAGTCATTCGTATGTCTTCTTCTGAGAAATGTCTATTCCAAATCTCTGCACATTTTTAATTCAGGTTATTTGTTTTCCTGCTGTTGAGTTGTTTGACTTTCTTGTATATTTTGGATATTAACACCCTGTCAGATGTATGGCTTGCAAATATTTTCTCACATTCTGTAGGTTGTCTCTTCACTCTGTTGATTGATACAATCAGCTGCTGATTGGCTATGCAAAAGCTTTTTAGTTTGTTATACTTCTATTTTTTATTTTTGCTTTTGTTGCCTGTGCTTTTGGAGTCATGTCCAAAAAATCTTTTCTCAGACCAATGTCATAGAGCTTTTCCCTTATGTTTCTCTCTAATAATTTTAAATTTTCAGGTCTTATATTTAAATCTTTAATCTATTTTGAGATGATTCTTGTACATGGTGTGAGATAAGGGTCCAATTTTATTGCTCTGCATGTGGGATGTCCAGTTTTCCCAGTACTATTTATTAGAGAGACTATCCTTTGCCCATTATGTGTTCTTAACATCTTTGTTGAAAGTCAATTGACTGTAAATGAATGTGTTTATTTGGGGGTTATCTATTGTGTTCCATTCCATATGTCTGTCTGCTTTTATGCCATACCATGCTGCTTTGATTACTATAGCTTTGTGGTGGATTTTGAAGTCAAGTAGCATAATTCCTCTGGTTTTGTTATTTTAGCTCAAAATTGCTTTGGCTATTAGGGTCTTTTGTGGCTCTAAATGAATTTTAGGATTGTTTTACTAGTTCTATAAAAATTTCTTTGGAATGTTTATAAAGAAAGTGATTGAGTGGGTGATTCACTCTGGAAGGGAGCCGGGAGGTGCTGAGCATTAAGCAAAGAAGTAAAAGAAGGACTTTTCTACCTTCTGTGCTCCTCAGCAGTTCTTGTATTAAACCAGTCTTTTACTTGATGAATGTATTTTAAACATTACTGTATAGATCTTTAAAACCTGTAAATACTTAATTAAGTGCTTTAAACCTAAAGTGTTCATTTTCTTAAGTAATTGAAAATACTGCTGGTATAAAATTACAGCTTCAAAGCAGGCTTACCAAAATGAAAAACAGATTTATGCATCTATAAAATTAAATGTGTATTGAGAACCGTAAGTAGACACCATTATTCTGAAGCAGCCAAATGGATAAAATATATTTTCCAAGCAGTTGCTCTGACCAAATAGAAACTAATTTCAGAAGAAAGCCGAAATGATAAATTCTGTGAATAATGTATCTATTAATGCAATATGTGTTCTTTAATATTACAGCCTACCGATGCAACAAAGGTTGTCTCTCATCCAATTACGGGAGAAATTCAGGTATGAAGTTTTTTAAAAAGTCGCCATTATATAACCTTTTTTAGTTCTTCTGCCACTGGTTTATTGAAATTGTAAACACACTGTTAGGATTTTTCTTATTCTGTAACATATACAGAACTGTAAAGGAAAAATGTAATTTTATAGAATAGTATATTAATACAAATATATGTTTTATGAATTCCAATCATAGCTGTGTATTTCTATACTTTGAAATCTGCCTGGTATCTTAGCAGTGTCAGCATGTTTTGTGCCTCAGTTTCTTTATATTTGTCTAATGTATTTTAAACATAACAGATTCTCCTGGAAATTTGAAGTTTCCTCTTTAAGAGTTTCATAAGTCTACTGGATTTTTTCTTCTTTTAATCAAAAATTGCTTTAAAAATCGCTGAATAGTTCTTGTAGAGAAGTATTTTTCATACCATGGGTCATAACTGCTTTGTAATTTATAAAATTAGTTTAATAAATTTTCATCAGGAAAATAACATAAAAGTAGATAAAGAAAAATATATAAAAATAAAAAGATTATCATATTTTAAAATTCTCTCTGTGTGTTTTGATATTCATATATTTCTAATTGTGAGTCATAGTAAAAAAAAAAAAAAAACTTTAAAACCTGCACCTTAGGTGATACCAAAAAGTATTTTAGAGTGAATAAGAAATAGTATATAGAAAGAATTAACACTACAAAATAGTAACTAATTGAAAATAGTATGTTCCAGATGAAAGAGTAAGTGTTAGCTGCATCTCTAATACATTCTAGAGGAAATTTTCACAAAAGACTTCACAAAGGATAACAGAAACTTGAATTAATTTGAAGATAAGCATAAAGAAAGGGAGATTATATTCCTAGGAGAAGAAACAGTACAATTAAAGGTACTGTTGTCCGAGAGTAATGGTTGAAGAATCAGCTTTGAGAAATAGGTTAATACTAAATTAAAAAGAACCTTGAACATAATCCTAAGAATGTTAGCCACTATGTATATACCATGATCTCTATTTTGGAGTAAGAGAGAGGCTATTCGAAAAGAATGTGTAATAAAAATTCATATGGCAGTGACCTACAAGAAATATTATAAAGGGAAGGACATTGAGGCAAAGAAACCAATTAAGTGATTATCCAGGAACCCACTACAAAGCAAAAGTGGAGTATGAGTGTGGAAATGGAGAAAATGTGCAGAAGGTTGACACATTACTAAGAACAAACTAACAGTACTACCCTGATGACCTCCATCCTCCCGATCTGGCTGTTTCTCTGCTATTTCCAACTTCCAGAAAGCCTATTTTTCACTGACCTCATCCTTTGTCGTTGCACAAGCAGCAAAGAAAATGCTAGAATTTCTGATTCTTAATAGCCTTCTTTCTCTTTCCTACTATTTTGAAACTTCTGTCCTTGAACTAGTATTTCTTTTGGACTTTTTTTTTTGTTTTTATTGTTGTTGTTTGTTCTAATTTTATTTTGCTTTCCCTTAAGGAGTAAGATGTAATTTTGTAGTTGAAATTTACCCTGCTAGTATTTCTTCTTAATTTGGGGGATATTTTCTTAAGGCAGTGATTTCAATTTATTATTTTTATTATAATAATTATTATTATTAATTATTATTATTTTCTTTTAGCAAAGGCTCATTTCTAATGAAACTTTATGTAGACACCCAAACCACAAATCTGTCAGCACTGGAGTCGCTGTGATTGAAGATTGCTGGGGCATTCCATTCTCTCTCAAAGCTGACCCTGAGCAACTCTAGATGTTTCCTAAGGCCATACAGAGCAAATTTTAAAAAGCACTCTCTTCGGGTGGCCTGCAAGTTTTCATTTCAATAAGAAATGGTTTGGGTGCTTCATCACTTAAAAGAGGATTCCAAGGCTGGCAGAGAAAGGAGAGAATGGGGAAGTGTTTCTCTTTAACTAAAGATCTGGAAGCTGTTTGAAATTTCAGTGGTATTAATTACAAGTTATTTTATATTCTATATTTCCGTGCCAGATTATAGCATACAGTTGCTGCATGATGCCATACAGTTCTAAACTCCCCATTTCTCCTCTTCTTTAATGGTACTTTGTTTTCTTTTTCACTGTGCTTTTATTACAGTCAGGGACTCTAGTCTTTTCTGGATGGAGATAAGCAATTGAAGATGTATTTTCTGACAGGAAACATAATAAGATCAAAATTATGCTAAAATGAGGATTTATTTTCATTATGAAGTTTTACAGGAAAGTATGACTCATCTGAGTTATCCTATTTTAAATATAAATGCAGCATGTCTGTTTTATATGGATTATTTTAAAAGTAGTATTTTTCTATATGGATTTGCCCTTGAAATATGTATCCCTTCCCCTCTATTATTTAATAAACAAAAGTAACATCAAACAGAATTAAGGTTTATTCTTAATGATGCCGAAAGAGTCTTTCAATTGTAAAAGAAAAAAAAATGCTTAACTCAATTATTTTGAATTATGCAGTTTTCTCAAATATTTGTTTGAATTATGTCTTTTAGTATTCAGCCACAATTGTGCAACAGCCAGTAAGCATCTGTAAAACAATGCCTCTTCTTTCTTCAGCTTCTAAAATTAAAAGAAAAAGAGATTATTCTAGTATCTCACTCTATTAGGAAAGCTGGTACCGAAAGGTATCCATAGGTTTAATATCAGATAATGTAACATAAAAAAGAGGTAGTAATCTGTGTATTCTTAAATATTCTTACATTTCAGTGCCGACAGCTTTATCTTTAAATAACAGTTCCACCCCACTGCTAATTATTTGGCAAAATGCAAAAATACTTTATAATAACTTACCAATTAGTTAATTTCTTTGAAAATTCTGGAAATTGTTGTTAATAAACATTAACAACATTTACTATTTTCCTAAGTTAGCAATTTAATTAAAAAATATAACCAGCATTCTAACATATGATTTTCCTTCTAAATAAACTTTAAACAGGCCAGGCCTTTTCACCGTGGAAAGAATGAACAGCATGTTTGCTAGGAATTAAAATATACCTGGGAGCTCTCAATTAAATTAGACATTAACTGTTCTGTTTGGCTTCAAATAAAATGAAAATGAAAGTTGATGCTTCTTACAAGAATTTTCTTAAAAACCTATTAGTAAATATTGAATGATAATGTATAACATGCTTTAAAAAACTTATGGAATATTTTTCTGTCTCCTAAAGCTTCAAATTAACTATGATCTTGGAAATCTCATAATACATATTCTCCAAGCAAGAAATCTTGTTCCTCGAGACAACAATGGTTATTCTGACCCTTTTGTGAAAGTGTACCTTCTTCCAGGGAGAGGGTAAGTAAAATGAAGAAGTATTTCATCTCGTGTTTTAAAACAATAGTATAGTGTTTTCTACTCTTTAATTTCAGCACCTCATTTTAATTAACTTTATTATCTTTTCCTTACTTTCCTCCTCCACACGTCATATTTATCTATTTCCAATTAGTAAATAAGGTGGAATTAAAAACTTATAATTAAGCCTTACAGGGTTCTAGAAGAACAGTGATCAAAATGAAACCAGCCTTCAACAGAGCAAATCAGCCTTTCAATTCTGGAAATCACTCCTGTGATGAACTATCAGATTCACTATGAAATCATTTAAGGAATTATTTGTGTCAAAGTTAAAGAATTGGCTTACCTTCCCAAATTTATCTGAGAAATCGATATTCAAGGACTCACAAGTTACTGTTTATTTTTATAGGACATGTGTATTTCCCAATATGTTAGTGTTGATTAAAGGGTTCCCTGATGCATCCTTATTTATAGGCATATTTCCAAATCACTGATTTAAAAATTATAAAATAACACAAAGTAATATTAGAAGTATTAACTTTGGTAAATAAATAAAAAATGTCTCTTTTAATCTCTTGTGTGATGTATAAATTGTTGATATAGTCAAGTGTTCTTTGGAGATATTTAACTTTCACATAAGGCAAATTGCTGTGATCTGGTATATAAGTCAGTACTCAAGTATGGTTTCGAAACACTGATTTGAACCCTACAAATTATTATCCTTCACTTGAACAATTCATATCAGCCAAATTAGCAAGATGGAAACATAAGATCAACAAATGGAGGTAAAATACAAAGAATTTTGAGTTGGTAATTTAAAGAAACTGGTTTTATTTTTTATTCATTTTCCTTTTAATTTGTGGAGTGACATTTGAATTTTCCCTTTAACTTGGAAATTTTCCACTGTGGCACACACAAGTAGAAGGAATAACTTGACCCACCATGTACCCATCACGCAACCTCAACAGTTATCACTTAGTGACCAATCACGTTTCATTTTTCCTCATACCCTCCCTTAATCTAGATTATTTTGAAGTAAATCTCAGCTATTATAATTATTTCTGCAAATATTTTAGTATATATTTCTGAAAAATAAAACTCATTTAAAAATAACCTTAATACCTTGGATAAACACATATTTAAATTGTTCAAATAATTGGTTGGTTGCCTCATAATATTTTCCTAGTTGGTTTGATGATCTAATTGATATTTACAGAATATACTACCCATCAATAGCAAATTACATATTCCCTTCAAGTACACATGGAGCATTCACCAAAATAGACTATTTTCTAGGACATAAAATAATTTCTGGCAAATTTAAAAACATTTTAATTATGTGAAGTGTATTCTTTGACTGTAGTTGGTTTGTTTAAAGAAGATCCAAATTAGAGCTATACGCTGAACTTGAATCTGCTGCTTAGTATTTATATCACCACAGGCAGATCACCAATTTCTTTGAAATTCAGTATTCTTGTCAACCCTGAGAGCCAAGGTAGGCAGAATCATCATGTTTAGCTTGTCAGGAGAACCAAATTAGATAATACTCAGAAAATAATTTTTAAATTGCCAGGTGCTATGTCAAAGTTAGTTCACAGCTTTTAATTTCATCCTTCTCAATAATTTTATTTTAAAAACTTGGAATTGTCGGTATGGTTGCTCTAGTTTTACTTTATTGAACATTTTGAAAACCCAATAATTTTATGTAGAGATTACCAGTAGTCACACAGTACAGGAAAAGGTAGTTTTTGTTTTATATTCATTCATTTATATCTATATATAGTAGTTGTAACTATAATTTGGCAATATCTCTTATAGTTTAAGAATAACAACAAGGCCGGGCGTGGTGGCTCACACCTGTAATCCCAGCACTTTGGGAGGCCGAGGCGGGTGGATCACGAGGTCAGGAGATCGAGACCATCCTGGCTAACCTGGTGAAACCCTGTCTCTACCAAAAATACAAAAAATTAGCCGGGCGTGGTGGCGGGCATCTGTAGTCCCAGCTTCTCGGGAGGCTGAGGCAGGAGAATGGCATGAACCCGAGAGGTGGAACTTGCAGTGAGCCGAGATCACGCCACTGCACTCCAGTCTGGGAGACATAGCGAGACTCGTCTCAAAAAAAAAAAAAAAAAAAAAAAAAAAAAAAGAATAACAACAAACTGATAACTTCATTCTGTGTTTGATGTTTGATTTGAGTCATTAGACCTTCACTGTTATTTATGACAATATTATGATACAAGGGGAAATCACTGCCAAGGATTTGTCTGTAATTAGCATTTGTAAATGAAAGAATGAAAATAAAGCATTGCTGTTTATATTCTATATTCTCTAACGATATCCTGCAATACAGAGTACCTACCTTTTATTTATTACAGGATATGTGTCAAGTAGAATGTTACAAACTTAAAGAATCATGAAGGACAGGCAGGTAACACGAATCTGTCAGTCCATTCTGGGGTGAGCAACAAGGAATGGTGGGAACCATGGTGAAATGGAGAACAAACACCCCACCTAAAGCTATCCTCCTGTGGTTTGACAAATAAAACATCCCTACTTGGTGAGGTTTGACTCAAAGGCAGCTAATAAGCTGCTCCTATTCAATTCCTAGGTCTTGCTTTCAATTACACTCCTAATTATTAGACAAGCAGAGGCCTTGGAATGTATTACACTTGCAAGGTATTATTTTCACTGTAATTCTAGCATTATTTTCTGCCTCATGTCATTTATATGTTATGGAATAGCTCTTCTAGTTATTATTTTCATATTTTCTTTCTTATTTCTGTTCCTAACTATTTTCTTCCTATCTTTTCTACTTTTCTGTTTTACCCTTCACTCTCGCTCTTGGAATCAATGCAGTCAAGTCATGGTTGTCCAGAATGCAAGGTAGAGTTGTTTCTCTTTCAGTGTCAAGCTATGCTGTTATGCCTTGAGTTATGCTTTTTGCATTTTTATGTACATTCACTTGCACTTCAACATGGGCTGTAACTTGTATTTTTCTACATGTTTGTATATATTGAATCAGCACTACAACAAATTGTTCTGAGCATATTTCTAAATAGCTTTAGCAGATGTGTGCGATAGAACACAGAAAAGTAGAAAATATCAAAAACATAGAACGATGAATAAAATATATTATTACCATGAAATTAGACATAACTGAAGTCTCATTTATAATCTATTCACTAAAACTCATTTAGCTTCTCACATAATAATCATGAGTTCTCTTGAGTCTTCTATTGAAATAAAAATATAGTCACTTTTCAAAAGTAATTAATGGATCTTCTGGATGTCCAGTGCAGGTGTGTATCCCATCGGGTGCGGTGACTCATGCCTGTAATCCCAGGACTTTGGGAGGCCGAGGTGGGTGGATCATGAGGTCAGGAAATTGAGACCATCCTGGCTAACACGGTGAAACCCCATCTCTACTAAAAATACAAAAAATTAGCTGGGGGCGTGTTGGCAGGTGCCTGTCCTCCCAGCTACCCGGGAGACTGAGGCAGGAAAATACATGAACCTGGGAGGTGGAGCTTGCAGTGAGCTGAGATCGTGCCACTGCACTCCAGCCTGGGTGACAGAGTGTCTCTCTCAAAGAAAAAGAAAAAAAAGAAAATAGGTGTTTGAACTTGGTCCCTCACTTGAACCTATTGTTGAAACACTTTCATGCCTTTATAACTTCTGCCCCACAAAATTTCTGCTGTGCAATGTAGAATGCCATAATTGGCTTGCTGTAGTATATTGGCAACGAGATAATCTTCCTTTGTTCCCAATAGTAGGAGTGTTTTCTAATGCAGCTCATAACAAGTTGCATCATAATACTGTCAACTAAGGCAATTTCTTACTACATAGCCAAAAGCATTATTTTGCACATCTCTCATTGCATTATAAATTAAATGTGTCATTTAGTTGGAAAGGCAAATCATGTAAGATCTGTAGCAATAGGGTGATGAGGATTTTAATCCCACCCAGATTATTAATGGTACAGCATTCGTTTTTGTCTATGACATTAAAATTTCACACATTTACTACTAATGAGCTGTTTCCCAAATGAGGCTATTTCTGATTTTTAAAAGCATAAATATGTAAATATTTCAAACAACAGGATTAGTTACCACAGCCTTGCTATTGCCCAGAAACTTTTTGTTTCCTTGCAGCCACATAATTGTGGCAAACAATATAATCGACACTGTGATAGATTCCTCGTTATGGCTGGTTCTCTCATCACAGAACACAATCCAGGTCTCTCAGGCTGATATGCAAAATTAGTTTTGTTTCAAAGAAATAGTATTATTTTTAGAACAGATATTATTAATCACATTATTCAGAATCTCCCTATCTTTTATATATAGAAACTTAGGGGAAATTATCAGAATGATAGAGATTGTATTTAACTAGAAAAGAGAGAATATTTTATAAATTATAAATAATGGCATGTCTTAGATAACTGTTTAAAAGATCTAGAAGCTACTCTCTTGTCTTTCATTTAGAAATCACTTTCACCATGTCTTTGAGAATTGTCAGTGTAAGAGGGAATTATATTGACAAGGTACTGACATTTTAAGTTAGACTATAGAAGCCAATGAGTGAGGTCCTTAAGAACTTGCATTTGAATTTTAGCCCTGTCACTTAGAAGCTGTAAGATTTCTCTAAAACTATTTTTCTCTTCTGCAAAATAGGAATAATAACAGCTCCCTTCGCAGGCTTTCTGTGAAATACATGAAATAAATACATCAAAAGTGATAAGCATAATGTCTGGAACATAATAAGCTTTCAATCAATGGTAGTTGTTATTATTATTGCTAGGAACGTGTATCATACATTTTATGTAACCAATGGTTAGTTATCTCTGCAACAAAAAGGTACAGAATGCTTGAGCTACTGAATTATTTAAAAATACTATGTAGAAAATTAAACAACTTTCTTTAATAATAAAATGTAATACATCTTTCATTCTTAAATTAAAAATGAAGTCCTGTTAACTAGTTAAAAATTACACTGATCTAGTTTCCTTGTCTTCTTTATTTTCTTCTTCCCACCTTCTGATCAATATACTCAAACTCTGAAGGGCCAAATGTCAGGCAAGATAAGGTGAGAGAATGACAAGGAAAAAGTCTGGGTCATGCATGAACTCAATACTTTCTCTTGGATAATTAAGAAATGGAAATGAGCATACATGAAGGGCCTCGTTCTGATTTTCTCTCATCACACTGTTGAGCAAAGTGAAAATATTTTCTCGTTACTGAGATTTTGTTATAAATGTAATAATTATTTTTAGCTATCATTATATCTGGAAGCCCAGTTCCTGGCTGAACCTTTCTCTAAACAGCATTGGTAGCCTATCAAAACATTTCCTCTGGGACCTATGGAAGGCAGGTACAGGTGTTGTGTATATTTACAATATGATATCCAAAACGTATTTTACTTCAATAGATTTTAAAGGAAAACAATATACAAGCATGTTCTAAGGATCACTGAACATTTACTTAGCACAGACTATGTGTCAGACACTGTGCCAGGTGCAGGGGTTACAATTGACAATGTAGCCATAGTCTCTGCCATTAGAGAGCAAAGAGGAAAATAAAATGATAGACAATAAGCACACCATTACACCATTAAACAGAGCTTACAAAATGGGATACAGGTTGTACTTTTTCTAAATTAAGAGAAGCAACCTCAGAGGAGTAATTTTGAAAAACGTGTGTGTGTGTGTGTGTGTGTGTGTGTGTGTGTGTGTGTATAGTAAGTTTAGTAAAGGAAAACCAGATAAAACATTAGAAATGAATACCTTCAATGTCTTAGATTATTTTATAGAAGTAGATCCACCAAAGAAGTCTTCAAATTTCATTATCTTTTCTCAATTTTTCTTTTGAAATTAAAAAATATGTACATAGAAACTGTTTTCCTGCTGGTCTTGAGTAGAATAATTGAACTTCAAATACTTTTTCAGACAGCCTTAAAAGTAGTTATACCTATGCATGACAAAATAGCCAATAAAAACAAATAAAAAAATAAACCACCAGTACTTTGGGAGCCTGAGGAGGGCAGATCACGGGGTCAGGAGATGGAGACCATCCTGGCTAACACAGTGAAACCCCGTCTCTACTAAAAATACCAAAAAATAAAAAAATAAAAAAATAAAAAAAATTAGCCGGGCGTGGGTGGCGGACACCTGTAGTCCCTGCTACTGAGGCTGAGGCAGGAGAATGGTGTGAACCCGGGAGGCGGAGCTTGCAGTGAGCCCAGATCGCGCCACTGCACTCCAGCCTGGGTGACAGAGCCAGACTCCATCTCAAAAAAATAAACAAACAAACAAGGCAAAACTTCAAGGGGGTGAAGTTTTAGATATTTTTTGATAAACACCATGTCCCATCTTTATGTATTCAACTTTTTATTTTCCCTTATTAATAAACTTCTTTGATTATTAGATATAATTGTCCTAATTTCCCTAATGTTAAATCATTAATGTAATCTTCCCTCAAGAGAATATAGTGTGTTTACTAGACAAGAAAGGAAAGGGAGGATGAACTCCACTTATTTCTCAGCTTGACTTTATGCTCACATTCAAGAATCCCCCTGTTTACCTGCCTACCTTCAACTTGTAAATCCACAGATTTTGATATGACTATTTTGTGTAGAGTTTTAAATTGTGTTAAGTGGCAACACAGTTCACTGAAATTGTGTACGATATGATCAGAGCATGGTAGTTATAAAACAAGTGTTATTGAAGAATGGCTTTGTGTGACCAGCTCTGTGTGTCAGGAAATGCAAGTGCAAAAAATACTGCAAAGGCTTTCATTGGTGTTTAGGAGCAAGCTGTTTTTACTTTCATTAATTCTAAAGGCAATGGATGTTTTAGGTCTGTAGAGAATTGGAGAATCAAACTCATTACTATGATTAAGATAGTCTATTAAAATGAACATTTTAACTTTTGTCCAATCAGTTTAGGTTATTTCTAAATGTATATGGTCAAACATCAGGTATTTATCAGTATTTATAATAAGTAGGCCTAATTGTTCCACAACACTCGCTTAGGATGTACCGTTCAGGATTTCCCTAGGCAACTCTAAAGATGGCCTAACTTGCTCATAATGTTTGTAATGTGTGTGTACACATTATACATAATTTATATTATATGTATAAACATTATATATTTAAATTGAGATGGAGAATTTTAGATTATAAAGAAGACAAATTCGATACTTCAGGTAGTGAAGCCTGCAATTAAGAAAACAGAGGGATGTCACATTTTATGATGGGCCTAACCAACTGAGTTCATATAACATTTATTTAAGAGCAAAAAATCAAATTAACTATGTTTGAATCCTGGTCCTACCAGTTAATAACTATGTAACTTTGACAATATGCCTTAATTTTTCTGAGCTTCAAGTTTTCTCGCCTATAAAATGGAATAAGAAGTAATACCTGTAAAATGGGGTTAATATGAGTATTACATGAGTTAATACATGAAAAGCACTTAGAACTTTACCAGAGGAAAGAATAGGCATTTAATAAATGTTAGTTATGATTTTAATATGCTTACTTTTAAAAATGCTTTTCATGCATTAATTAAATACATACTCATATGTCAATACAATACGAGGGTTTTTTAGTTGATAGAGATGTACAATTCCTGATACGGAGTTGGCATTCAATAATTTTTGCTAGGTGTATAAGTGAAAAAAAGACTAAATGTGGATTTGAACAATTTGAATAACAATTATTCACATGTATGGATTAAGAAAAGATAGGGACTGATAAATCCCTTCAAAGATACTTCAATACTACTGCAGACTATTTTAATATATACTGGCAGACCCAGAACTTTAGTGATAGTACATGGGTTTGCATTTGGTATTAATTCCCATCTTGTTAAACAAATTGCATATTTTTTAGAACTTAAAAAGCATTATTTTATTACTGTTCAGTATATTAGATAAATCTTAATATGGTTTCCATAACCTCACCACCTTGGTAAGTAAGTCTAAAACAAACAGAGGCTTTAAAACTCATACTACCATGTGTTTGTTTCCTATGTATATTCACATAGGAGAATAGCCATGATTCTCAAGTAGCAATCCACGTTTACTATTAACTTAAAAGTAGTCACTAATTCTTTCTATGTCACTATCAAAGTTATTAACTCTTTCTATATATTAATTTCTATGTATTATTTCTGTGTAGACACTTTTTTGTAGACACGAATTCTATCGCCATCAAATTAAGTCATTAATTCTATGTTACCATCAAAAAAGAATCCAAAACTAAATTTAAAGCAATGTATCTTACTAAAAATTTTTGAATTTTTCATTATGAAATATTTCAAGTTTACTAAAAATTATAGAAAATACCCTAACAAATATCTGTGTGCTTGCTCTCCAATTTTGTCAGATCTCAAGATTTTGCTATATTTGTTTTAGATGTTTTAAAATAAAAGATAATACCCGGAGGCTCTCTGAAATCACTTCCCTGTCCATCAAAAAAACTCACTAAATTGAATTTAATATTCATAATTTACATGTTTTCTTACAGTATTAATATATGTATGTCAAATATACATATATATATGATATGTAATCGTATTTCACATGATTTTATCTTTGTACCATTATACCATACTATATTAAGTGTTTGATCAAAACTTTTTTCAAGATATATCTATCTTGATATATGGAGGCTTTTAAAATTTATTTAATTGATTTTCAGTGCCACTTACTATTTCATTGAAATGAATATATCAAAATGTATTTATTCTTTCTTCTATTGGCTTACTATTGAAATAATGTTACAATTAATATTCTTGAACAAATTTCTTGTTCACAGGTAGGAGAATTTATGGTAGAAGTGGAATTAGTAGAAATTGAATATTTGGATGTTTGGGTATATAAACTTAAACTTCACCAGATATTGACAAATTTATCTAAAAAGTCTATATAGAAACTTCCTATCCACAGTCTATGAGAGCTCCTCTTTCTTTAAATCATTGTCTGTATATTTCCCTAAAATTGTTTGTAATTTATCTTGAGTGACAACTGTCAAATTGTGTACATTCAAATTGGTTGAAGTGGGAGGAACACTGCTTTATTTCAATTGGATTCAGCTCACAATGGCTGACTTGTGAAGTGTTATGAAACACCAACTCGGTGCTTCTTAATCTTGGCTACACATTAGATTCACCTCGGAACCTTCAAAAATTCTAATATTCAAGCCTCATCCCAGACTAATTACATGAGACTTTCCTTCGGGGTGTAAGCAGGGGTAAGAGGGAAGTGGGTGAAGGGTTGACTGACCCACCTCCCACCACCAGAACTCAGGTGATCCCATTATGCAGTCAATGTTAAGAATTACTTCCCTTGTATCTGACTGGTAAGAAAATAAAATCAGAGAGACAGGGAAAGTACTTGCCTGTAGGCCCATCTTTAAAAGTAAGTGGTGAGCTGGAGTTTGATTCTCAATAGCTTTCTCTAGAATGTGTAGGTAAATTAGTGGCTGGGGAAAATTTCCAGGCATCCAGGATATGGCAGTATTTGAGACCAGGAATGTAGCAAGAGTTAGTTTGACTATAGTTTGGAATAGAACTACAGATTACAAGGGACAGGATCCAGCCCCTTTTAGGAAAGGCAACTTGTGAAGTCCAGACATATGTAAAGACTCCCAGACAAAGAGGTTGGTTTACAATACTCTAGTGTCCACCAGCGATGAAGTATTATTTAGAACGTGAGACATAAGCTTAGGCAGAAAATGCAGAAAAAAAGCAGTGAGAGTTAGAGAAACGCCTTGTCTGTGTGGGCACCATTTGGTAATAGCAAATGACAGTAATCTAATTTCAACCCTATCAGTTGGTGACAGCTATACATGTTCTGCCAGACTTAATTAGGATACGCTTTGAAAATTAAGTTGTTTTTAACTGTGTAGCATATAAGCTTCTAATTGGTGCTCAGAGGAAATGGAAAGTCAAGGATTAATGCAAATGTCCCAAGTTATAATAATTGAGGAAAGATTTTATTTGGTTCATCAATTGTAAAATAACATATTGACATAAACCAAAAATTTATATTTAATTAAAATTGCTTTATAACTGCATTAAATATACTTTACCAAGAGTGTTGGTAAATATACTTTAAATATCAGATAACAAGTGTTTATGGAATGTCAGCCACAGCAACAGCCATTCTTCATCTTTTTCTCAATCAGTACAGTCATTACAATGTTTTAGTTTTGCTTTTCCATACATGCGAAACTATAGGAAAGTTAAACACCAAATTACTGTTTATTGGGCAATAACATTGATGTTATCATTTAGTTCATATAATTATCTCCTACGTTCAGGAAAGAGTAAGATTTCTAAATTATAGTATCGTTAGAACACCTACAAGCATTTCTTTAAAAAAAAAATCTTTAAGGCAAAGAAAACTACAAGCATCCAACATATTTTTAAGTTGTCACTGTGCATTCAGGGTTTAAGACATGAGGATGATGAGATAATTATATAGTGATTTGAAATAAAGTATCTTGAATAGTCTGCATGTCCTTTAGTTTAACTGTGAAGTCATCAACTAAGGTGAATAATCGAGATAACTCTTTCTTTTCTCCCAATTCAGTGCTGAGTACAAGAGAAGGACTAAATATGTCCAGAAAAGTCTTAATCCTGAGTGGAATCAAACAGTAATTTATAAAAGTATTTCCATGGAACAGGTATGTAAAGATTATTTCTAGGTGACAGAATTAGGCTAATATAAGTACAGTGATAGCAAAATTATTCAAAAATTGGATCTATATACATTTTGCCAATCAAACAGAAAAAGTTGAGTAAAATACATGTAAGAAATGTAGACAATGGAAAAAAATGAGTGACGTTTAAACATAGGGTGAAAGTAAATGTGCACATTTTGACAAAGCAGCCAAAACATAAACAAATAAAATAAGAAAACTAGTGGAATATTTTCCATTGATTATTTCGGAATTTAAAATTTTTAATAGACTAAGCCACAGTTATCAAATTTGAGAGGGAAATATATTTTCCAACTGGCTATATTTTGACTTTCATACACAGTATACAGAAAAAATAAGATTCAATGCATAGAACTGTATTACTCCACCAGACAATATTTTAGGATCTCATCTCTTTGCTAAATTGAGGCCTCCTAAGAATCTGGCATTGTGGTGCTAAACTCTATAGAAGAACACAAAATGATGACTAGTATAAAGGGTTATCACCACAGATAAATAACTGTAGGCAAAATTACACTAATGTGCTTCTGAAAATCTGCATTTTTATAACTTTGCTTGAGTAACAGACAATAACTGAAATGTATAAAGTTGAATTCAGAGAGAAGACTGCAAAGACAGTTCCCATGTAAACCAATTTACAAGTGAACTGTCTTTCAAAATGAGGTTCTTAATTTGTCTTCTAGTAGATTAATTTGATTACAAAAACAAAGCTGGATATAAATTATAATCTGGGTTTGTGAATTTAAAATAAACTCACCTGCAGAAATAAGACAATGCTACTAAGTTTTTTAGAAATTGCTGAAGCATCTAATCCAAATACTTCATCTATATAATACTAGACGTTTTTGCAATCTATGAATTTCTTATATTTAGAGTATTTATAAATTCTGATTTCTATTTTTGAAAATGAGTTGGGGATACAATAAATAAGAATTATCATTTTATTCACAAAATAATGTTCCATATGATCAAACACTAGAGTGCAAAATCATTCAAATTTTATGTAATATTTAATATATTTAAACTACATAGTTTTTGGTAAAATTTTAAGTATTTTCACATAAATGGAAGGAGTTTAAGGAAATAAAAATAAATATGTCTACTGTATATGTATAATGAAAATGTATGATGGAAAGATAGGTTAATTAGATTTCTATTTGAACTGTATAGCTCAAGAAGAAAACACTGGAGGTGACAGTTTGGGATTATGATAGATTTTCATCCAACGACTTCCTTGGGGAGGTAAGCCTCTGACTTCCTTTCCTTTATTTGCTGCTATGGTAAACCACCAATTAAAGCATGATGCAAAGCATATTTCTGAAGTTTGTAAGATAGCCATTTCTGCATAAAATCTTTTGGCAGATAGAATTTATTTCCTGATTTACTCTTTGAGTAGATTAATACCAACTCAAGAAATGATTTTCACTCTATCACTTGATGTACTTTATAATTAATTTCTAAGATGAAATTTTGTTTCAATAGGAAGATATGCAATCATACTGTGAGTCCAAATGAGATTTGAAGTAATAAATTTATTATATTATAAAATGGCCTGGACTTTTCAAAATGCATTTACAGGTTCTTTAACTGATTCGATGTGACATATTGCATTGTTATTTATAATTCAGTTTCCTGAGAAAAATTGCTGAAAACATTTTAAGAAGCAAAACTACAAGTAGGAGAAAACAATAAAAACAATTTTTACATTAACATCAAGGAATCAAAATAACCTAATTGTATGCCTGCGTCAGAATATCTCATATACCACATAAATACATACACTTACTATGTACTTGTAAAAATTTAAAAGTAAACAAATAACCTAATCATGAAATTGGTGGAGTGAACAAATCTTGTGATTTTTTAAATCTATTATATATACATACACATTGTTTATAGATATATACACATTGTTTATAGATATGAACATAATACATACATTGTTTATACATAGGAACATTATATGTATAATGTAGATATGTACACATTGTATAATGTAAATTATATATGTTGTATATATACATATATTATACATTGTATATACATATATAATACATTGTATACCTGTGTATATACATACAATGTATATGTGTCTATATATACTATACAGTGTATACAATTGTATGTATAGTGTATATATGTTTATGTACACATTATATACAATGTATATATACTATACATATATAATATATACTATACATATATAATATATATACACACACATATTGTTTAGTGTTCTGCTTAGGGTAGAAGTTATTAATGAATATTAAAAATAATCTCCAAAACCTACAAAATATGATATCCTTTTGATAGAGATTATATAAAACGGTTGTGTAATCAAGGTGATAATGAGGCCTTGTTTGGTTGTTAAGACTTTGCACCTCTCTTTTCACCAAAACCAGAGCATTGGACCCTTACCTTCCAGCTCCATCCAGCTCTAGCCACTTGGACGAATCTTGATCTTAGGCAAGAGTACTCTAGATTAGTATTATGTCTGACTTTATGTCTCAAAAAAGTGACTTATTGAAGTCCTTCTAATTTATGGTCTTATGTTTACATGAGCCTAAAGCATATATCCATTGGTCTGGGTTTCATTTCTTTTTAGCTCATCATATCTAAGATGTCAGCAACTGCAAAATGCACCAATGTACTAAGAAAAAGAAAGTTGCCAATTAAACCACGACAAAATGTGTTAGTCATATCCCTATTTCAAATGTGAACTCAAGTGTGTTTTAAAATAGAATAAATAAATTTATAATTGCAACTTTCTCATTCTTTTCCAGTTTGTCCCTTTTGTGACTAAAATCAAACATTTTTCAAGGTTGCTAGTCCAGTTTAAGATTAGAATGAGTTATGAGTTCTTTTTTTTTTTCTTTTCTGAGACGGAGTCTCGCTGTGTCGCCTGGGCTGGAGTGTGGTGGCGCGATCTCAGCTCACTGCAAGCTCCACCTCCTGGGTTCACGCCATTGTCCTGCCTCAGCCTACCTCGTAGCTGGGACTACAGGCGCCCGCCACCAAGCTCGGCTAATTTTTTTTTTTTTGTATTTTTAGCAGAGACGGGGTTTCACCATTAAGATTAAAATGAGTTCTTACAACAAAAAGAAGTTTTGTTTTATGAACAGATTGACTTGTGACCCTTTTAACATCATATCCAAATAATTTATTTGTCAAAAATTTTATACAGTTCAGTTCAAGCAAACATTTATTAAGCATCTAGTATGTAAAAGACGTTGTTTCCAGTATCATTGGGAAGAAAAATGAAGAAGAAAGAATCATCATCCTCAAAAGTTATACTGTATTCCTTGGTTTATATCCTTTAATAAATTTTAGAACATACAAAAAGTAATGAATTAATCATACTTTAGTTCCTAAATTTCATTGATTTGTTACACTTTTTTTCAGGTATTGATTGATTTATCTAGCACATCTCACCTCGATAACACTCCAAGGTGGTATCCTCTCAAAGAACAGACTGAAAGCATTGATCATGGCAAGTCGCATTCCAGTCAGAGCAGCCAGCAGTCCCCAAAGCCATCTGTTATCAAAAGCAGAAGCCATGGTATCTTCCCTGACCCATCAAAGGGTAGGAAATATTTTTTAAGCAGAAAAAGCTTTTTGTCTATTTGTTCAGTCTGTATCTTCTTAGTGTGAGTGTTTGTACATTTAACATATATTAATAGACTAGACATGACTGGAAAATACTTAATATAATGTCATGCAAAGAGTGATGGATGTGGAGTCAGGAGAAATGGCCTATATTCTCAGATCATCACCCATACTTAGGTGTAGGACTTTGTAATCTTCACTTCTCTAACTGTCCATTTTCCAACATGTAAAATGGAGGAGGTTGGACTATATGAGCTGTTTGGTCTATTCCACCTCAAAATCCATGATAACATGATTTCAGAAAATGCATTTGGGTATTTCATAAAGATAATATAAAAATCCCTACTGGTTCATTGACTAGACATAATCATCATTACCATTAAGGTATAATCCTTCTACTTGTTGAATCTCTGGTTATCCATAAATATTGTCTTACCCAATAAATATAATTTTGCATGCTACTTTTTATTTATCATACAAAGAATATTTTCCCTTGTCATCAAAACAATTGGTATGCTGAAATTTTCTTAAGTCTTTCCTAAATGTTGAACTCAAGCTAATTTTTTAATAATTATTATTATTTTTTAAATAACAGTGCCATACATTGGGTTTGACAATATGCAAATATGCACGGCACTCTCATTCAAATGAGCTTTTCCTTTGAGAGGTTCATTACCAGCTGTCCTACAACACAATATCCTCATCATAAACTGAGTTACTGCCTCTGTGGGATAAAACGTGTGGTACCTTACCTACATATACTGAACTATTTATAAGTATTAAATATAATTTTTATATTGGACTTGAGTATTACTTCCTTGTCACCTTTTCTAGGAAAGTCCATCAAATTGAAAAGTGGTTCTTTGTACATGAGATTCTCTGAATCATAAATGCAAGTGTTCTAGGAGATGAGAAAGTGAGTCCATGTCCAGTAGGCCACTGAGTTGGTATCATAAACCACTGACTACGAGTGCTGTAGATTATTTATTAATGAGTTTTATAGATCATTTATGGGTTCTACTTAGCCATCTCAACTCTATCTTGCTTAACATTCTGCAAGATCATTAGTATAAAGATCTCTTTCTATGACTGCCTTAGGAAATATGTGATCCATACATTCTCTACAATGGTTTGAGGCATGATTCTACAATCTCCACATTTAATATGTCCTAGTGACTTACATCCTTCATCCTGTTTTTACTTAAAACTCCTCCTGTGTACCGTCTCCTACCTGACCTGTACTGGAATTAGCAGAGGTGCTTGGTGAAACTAGAAGTTAACATATTTATTACTAGAAGCTAGTCAGAATGTATTTCTTTTCTCAAAGTTATCTCTTCTCATTGCTATCATCCTTTTGCCTTTCCTCCTCCAAATTGTTTCCCAGATGTTTAATCACAGTTCTCTATGATGACCAGTTGCATAAATGAATCATATAAGACCCAGAATTAACATAAATTTTAGACAGTTTCAAATTATGTGTAGACTAAGCTTGACAGGAGGAGTGCTGGAACAACTTTAACTCACGTTTTACCCTTTTGTGACCAGACATGCAGGTTCCCACCATTGAGAAATCCCATAGTAGTCCTGGTAGCTCAAAATCATCATCAGAAGGCCATCTCCGTTCTCATGGACCATCTCGCAGTCAAAGCAAAACCAGCGTCACTCAGACCCACCTGGAAGATGCAGGGGCTGCCATAGCTGCTGCCGAAGCTGCCGTGCAACAACTCCGCATTCAACCAAGTAAAAGACGCAAATAAATTCCTCAGCATGGCAGCTTAATGTTCATCTGTTGCCTTTCTTTCCTGCTGTCCTTTCCTGTTTGCTTTCAGTTTTCAACATCCTCTGCTCACCCTGTTCTCTGTCCCTTCGTCTGTGTAAGAACGATATCAATACATTAATATACTCTTTCTTATTTAGATTTTTTTAATTTACATAGACTGAAATAAAACTGGCTGTTTCTCCTTTGTTTACACCATCCATCCAACCTGGCTCATAGCATTTGATACAGTGTCTGTGATGTTTGGAGGCAAAGCAATGTTGTGTGTCCTTTTTGTTTGTGCTTAAATATCTTTTAGAATACAGAAATTATAAGCACAAGTGGCTGCCAGTTTTTCAGACCTTATACCAAAAAATTAAAAAGTGCACTCATATAAGTATTTAGAGCAGATTCACAATTAGATTCTTGTGTCTGAAAACACTCAAAAAGTCTAGGCAGAAGATAATGCAACCAACAGTCAACTTCTAGAACCTTGGAGGAAAAGCCATTTCAAGACAGTGCTTTAAAACACTAATAAATTATGCTTGTGAAATATGGTAACTTTCCATGTGCAAAAATTTGTAGTCTTGAAAAGTCTGTGAAGAAAATCTTATTTCTTATATTCTCAAAAAACTACATTAAATTAATATATATATAAGCATATGTCATGAGGCAATGCAACTTCATTAAGGAGCACAATTGGGTCCATTCTGTTGGATCACACTTTGTATGCGATGACAGATTTTACAGATTTTTTTTCTAACCATTGGAAATCAAAATATACTATGTCTGGTAGCTATAAGTCAAGCAAAATATAACAGTTGACCTATCTTAATTGCTGTATTTTCATTTCATTTGTGAAAATTTAGTCAATTGATATAATTATATAAAAATAAGTGCAAATATTTCACAAATGTAGGTGCCCTGTTACTTCTAAAAGGCATTAGCCAGGCAATGGAGATAGATCGTTGTTCTCTGCATCTCCCTAGTCATCATTTCCAAAGAAACAGCCAGTTTTAAACCCCTTTAGTGCTGTGCATGTGGTGTCATTTTGGCATTTGAAAACACAACTTATTTAAATACAGCAAAAGAGCACTTCTGTTTGCATGAATAACATTTAAGCTGGTTCCATCTGAGGATACATACTCTGGGTTTCCATTTCACCCACACTGCCACAGCAGCACATAAAAGCGGTCAGTCTAATCATGCCAGGAAGCAGCACAGACACAGCATAGCAGGAGTCCTCCCCATTCAAAGAACTCAGTCTGATAATCTGCCTCCACCAGCCAATGGCAACCAAGACCAAAGCCAGCTAGCCCTCAGGAAGGTGATGTCTGATGGACCAGTCAAGCCAGAAGGAGGTGAGCAGAAAGGCCCTGTTCAAAGCACACAGCAAGAACGTCCCCCAAATTTAAAGCTCTCCTCTTTAATTTTAGAGATTGTCTGATAAAATATGTTTATCCACTTTTTAATGTGCTTTTGTGGGCATGGCATTTCAGGACTTCATCATCACCATGTAAGTCCCAAGACCAGTCCCGTAATATATTGACTACAGTGATTTGTATTTTTCTATGCACTGGGCGTCTTTTGACTTTTGTTGGGAAATAGATTAACAATATTCATATTGCAGAATGGAATGCATGCTACTAACCTAATCTGTTCAAGCATGACTATAAATATGTTTCATTGTGATGAAAGTTTCAATTGCTCACAGTTCAAGTTAGCCTACCAGTTGGAATGTGGATCAGTTTTTGTTGCCTATTATTTCAAGTGTAACTTTAAAAAATTTAGTGGATTTTGAAAATTCTTAGAGGAAAGTAAAGGAAAAATTGTTAATGCACTCATTTACCTTTACATGGTGAAAGTTCTCTCTTGATCCTACAAACAGACATTTTCCACTCGTGTTTCCATAGTTGTTAAGTGTATCAGATGTGTTGGGCATGTGAATCTCCAAGTGCCTGTGTAATAAATAAAGTATCTTTATTTCATTCATAAACTACTGGGTTCTGAGCCATTGTTATATGATGCAGCTTAAAATGAATGTGTCAGTTTTGTTTTCTCATTTGATTTCGTTGCAGTAGATTTTAATTACTGCTTCATTGCTAGTGACAGCTGTAATGATTGGACATTTGAGAGCAGGACAAAGTTCCATCTTGGAAACACTGTAAGATAGATGGAAAATTGTCACCAAATAAAAGCATCAGAGATTACATTAAAATGTAAATAAATAATGGGATTGGGCTACCCTAGGCAACATTTGTGCTATTTCTGTCTCCTACGTCTGATCTACTTTGCAATCTTCTCAGGTTCCTGGATAGAGGAAGGTAAATTCCATTGCTTTGGAGAAGTGGCTAACCTTGAACTCATAGCTGTGTTCAGAAACGAAAGCACATGTACACCCATCTGTAACCTAACCCCAACATTTCTAGAATTTTCCCCCAAGAAAGAGTGCCACTGCCAGTGACAAGGAATGAAGCTAGGGTGACTATACAATTATCTTCAAATTTAATTCAAAAGCACATATTAAAATAATTTTTTTAAAAATAGGATAGTAGTATTTGTCCCCTTGAGTACTTCTCAGCCCTAAAATGTTTGATTTTATGAGTTCATATTTGGCACAAAATTAAAATCAAGCCTTATACTTTCCTGTTGCATTCTTTTTATTCTCATAAAATTAAAAACATTTCATATGTCCTTCTCCCAATTAATTATATATGTGGTGGCAATGTAAGACATATGTTGCATTACAGAGGTAAACCACTGAGGTGTTTCCTAAATTAGGTAATTAAGGAAAAATCAGCTTAAACATTAGGATAATTCTGAATATGTGTTACTCAGCCCAGTTTCTAGATTATCACCAAAGCACAATTTCTTTTTTCTTGTTAGCCTTACTAAAACTTTCATTTTTAAAATTCCACCTCTCACCTTTTCTTCCATCAAATAAGTTCACTTGATTTCTTCATGTTATTCACGTTATTACTTGAAATATTCTTTTAATTATAAATGCCACAGTAATCAAACACTTCCCTTATTTCACACCTTATTTTTAATTATTGTGACTTAAGTGTTTCTACATAACATTTTATATGATTTTCTTCCTAGACATAGTCCTTAAAATTTATATTAAAGTGTTTTAATCCCTTTTTTTGAATAGTGCTCTAATAGATATTCTCATACATTTAGTCTTATGATTGACTTAGAAGTCACTCTTTATTAAAATCGTAATCAAAAGGAAAACTAGATAACACAGCATGCTTTCATGTTTAATTTTGTTCTAATAGCCTTATTTTATAAATAAAAAGCCTTATTTTCTAAAGTATAATTTTTCTGCTATTATAAATATACCAATATAATTGATCCATGTATATTTCCAGACACTTCATAGCAAACATACTGTAGTGTTAAATTTATATAAAATGCAATATAAATTCTTTAAAGTGCAGAGAGAAAAACAACTAGGCAGAGATACAAACATATAAAAAGGACCTGCAAGTTCCTGTTCACTAACTGCAGAAGTATTAATAATAATCGTAAGTGTTGGGATAAAAGTGTCCCATTTCAAACCTCAAAATGGAGTTCATATAATCCCATCTGCATTCTGAAAATAATACTCTGCATTTGAATAGTTCTTCATGTTGTACAGAGCATTTTGTCATCCATTTCTCATTTTATCACATTAAGTGGATGAGATAGTCATTTCAATATTCTTATACTTGTTTTTTTATGGGTGAGCAATCAGAGAGTCAGAGAGGTAGGCTGGCTGGTATAAGAACACACAGCTAGAAATTTTCAGAACTGACAAATATAACATTGTCTTGTGACTTTTCGAGTTACAATTTTTGAATACATTGTCTCCTTTAAAATCAAAGTCTCCTAATTTTAATAAGAACAGTCACTTATGACTTCTCTCTCAAGTTCTTACAAATGATTAGCGGTAGCTAGAAATGATGGCAGAATTCAATTAATACTCTCTATCTACATGGTCCTCCTTTCTAAAGGTTGTTGATTTAACCTAGCAAAAGGAAGCCTTCCCACTGTGCAAGCCCAGTGAGGCATTGGGCAATGTTTGTGACTCCATTAGAAAAGGCTGTGGGTCCATCTGTAGGCATTTCTATCAAGAGTGACAAAAATTGTCCCTAAAGAGCTTTTCAAAGATTTTTTGTAAGCTTCTCAGCAGATTTCTGCTTGAGCTAGCATAAAATACGGGTCAAACAAGAATTATAGAGTAAGTCAAAAGGAATTTTTTCTTTCCCCCTGGGGTTTAGTTTCATACTAAAACACCTGATGGGAAAGTATAGACAGATTGTGCAAAACCATCCTGATGCCTAAACAACTCTCCGTAGTTAAAAACCTCTGGAAATGTTTTTAGTTGTTGTTGTTTTCCCCATACTAGCTAGTTTGGTTGAACACAAGCCTTGCTATTTCAGAAGATTTTTTATTTGTTGGTTTGCTTGAAAACTATATCAAGACCAAAACAAGCTGAAGCATTCCTAAAACCTTGACGATTTATTTAGTTGAAACCCAATATATTAAATTTAAGTACAGTTGGGAAAACCTGAGCTATTTTTGTTTGATACTAAGACTTTAGGTATGAGTTTTAAATTTAGAAACAGGCAATACAGGATGAGGAGAAACATACTGGTCAATAAAACAAGAGCCATTGGGACGGGTTGGAGAGATTAGGTGAGAAGATAAATCATTAGATAAGTCATGCAAGGAATATGATTTCGAGTTCCTTGATGTGGCCGAATTGTAGGAGAAAAGCCTGATGCTACTTCCACAGACCACTACTGGAAACTCCACTTTCAATAAAGCTCATTTGCGGCACCTGTCAAAGAAGAGTTTCATATCCATGCGTTGCCTTGGTGAACTCTTACTAAGCCATCACTGTGGGAGCTTCTGCCTTGGGCAAGTGGTAGTGGGTGGATGGGTTCGGGAGCGGGTGGGACTGGGAGTGGAGGGAATTGTTGGTTACAAATGATAG